TTTCATTATGTTTAGTTAAGTTTATTATGTAAAGGTGAAAAGGTTACACTAATCGTGTAAGAATAAGTATAATGTAAACTTAATATGGACCTTAATGTTTGATACTAACACGTTTTGTATTTGTTATCTTGTTTACTTTCAATACTTTACTTGTTAAATAATTAATCTATATTTATGTTGTATAACACTTGGCACAACAAATACTTGACACTTTTATATCCCATACTGTATGATATAACCGACACCTAAGCTATGAAAGAAACTTAATTTGTTGTTAACATAAATTATAATCATAAATGCCTGACAACATTTACAAGTATTATCATTATTTGAAGAAGATAACTAATATAATCATATTAACAATTTATAATCCAACTGGAACTTTCTTTGTATGTGGTTTCCATTTGAGTAATTAGAGTTCATACTATACTTGTTTGAAATACCATTAGTGGATCCTCTAACCTTGATATTTGTCGTTGTTGTTATTCGATCCTCACATTAATCTTTCATCTCAAAGTTCTCATCAACTTTTTCTTCATTTTCTTTATTATTATTATTATTATTATTATTACTTCTACTACAACAACAACAGCTACTACTACTACTACTGTTATTATTAATATTATTGTTATCATTAATATTATTATTATTAGTATTATTAGTATTATTATTATTAGTATTATTATTGTTGTTGTATTATATTGTTGTTTATAATTTATATAATTAACCTGCTTGTGGTTCGACCCTGGTCTTGCCGAGTTATATATTACTTCGACACTCCTGCACTTGGAAGAAGACATCAATCTTTTGGTCATGTCAAGCTCATACTTTTTTGCCTTTGCCCCTTTTAGCTTATATATTTAGTTTTTTAAGGAACTAAACAAAAATAATAAAAACATTTTAGATTATAACGTTCAACCAATGGATTCAAAAGGACATAACAAAAAAACAACAATAAGGAAACTAGGAATAAGGAAAACTCAACAAACAAACTCAAATCAATACAAAAAAAAAAAATTCAAAATAACAAAGACAACAAGAAATGAAAATGAATTCAAGAGTAACTCAACAAAACATATTTAAGATTGAACTTTTTGACTTATGTTAAGAAAATAAAGCTCCAAAGATTAATTAAGAATGATTGTCAAGACCCGATCTCCGGATCCATGATCGGTATATAGACAAAGTTATCCTTCAGGATTCCATATTTATATGAACTCAAACTTATAAATTAACTTATTCCTTACATGAACAAAATAGAGTTCTATGAAACATGATAACATAACTAACTTTATAATATAAATTGATTATATTAATACAAGAATTAATATAAATATCATAATTATAGAGCACTAATTAGATATAAAAAAGGTAATAATTACAACTAAAAGAGAAGATTTTAAAGTCCAACAAAAGTGATCTGCTAATAAAAATATAAGCCTAAAAAGATAAATAACAAGATAATAAGTTTAACAACTTAGTAGTAAATAATGTTCAATACATATATACAAGGTAATAAGATAGAGAAATGCATACAAATTTGGCTTTAGGTTTCTACAAAAAAGTTTCACAAATAAGTTATAACAAGTATATCAGTAAGGCTTGTTAGAAAATTTAAATGTAATGAGCACAGTGCTCCATATTGTGGGATGATCAGTCACCATAAGTTGGAGACTCCCCGACCAACTAGGATTCATATACAATATGTATAAAGAATAACACTACCTTGTTAGCAAGGATATTCTAATTGACATATCATAAGTTCATATCATAATCACATAAATAGATTTGTATCTTAAGACTCAACTCATGTCATCAATCAAATAAGAAGCTATCAATTTAGAAGTACATGATGGTTTATATCAAAGATTCAATTTCAATAAATGACCACACTTAATCATAAATAAGGAATAAATAACAATTTAAAAATTATCAAGAAGCATAATCAATTCCATATTAATAATTCAAGTATTTATATTAACCCTGTAGCATATGAAAAATTACTTACTCATATCACTCAAAAGTATAAATAACATAAAAGTAAATATGATGGCAATCTTGTTGATGTACTGTAGGTAGAATATCAGAATTATCTGAATATAAAACATGCATACTTAAAATAGACTAAAAAATAATGTAAAATTTATTTAATACACTTAACTTAGGGTTTAACTCATAGCCCTATATGTTTACGAACAAAACTTATTATTTTTCCTGAAAACCCAAAAACTAAACGGTTTCTCAAAATCTAATTTATAAGGAATCAAAAACATAAAACTTGGTAATAATTAACCAATAAACCTCAATTATTCATCAAAACCAATCTAAAAATCTGAAATTAAAACTAGGGACTAATTTGGAACTTTCTCCGATTTTTAGGGGTTATATTGTAATTTTACTAAATTGGAGGACTAAACTAAAATTGTTATAAATTCATAACTATACTAACATTTTGCCCATAATTTATCCTCAATTCTTTCTAGAATATCAAATTTTGCTCTAGGGACTAAATTGTGATTTTTCAAAGTTCAAGGACTAAACTATAATTTTCACTAATTGATGGACCAAACTAAAATTCCATAATCTTCAACCTTAAACCTAGATTTTTCCATTACACAAAATATTTCAAAATCAACTAATTAAACCATTACCTATAACAATTAATCCATAATATTCTAATTAGCTCATCAATCAAACCCAAAACATAATCTTCAAAACTCTAATCTTAAACAAATTTATAATCTTAATTAATACCAACAATTATACACATCAAAACATAAATGTTACTTTCTAAACTTATTTTTTGTAACTGTCTTCTTATTCCTTTATCTTTTCTTCTTTTCTTCTTCTTCTTATGGTTCTCTCTTTTTAAATCTGAGTTTTCTCATTGTTTTTTTTTTGTTTTTTTCTTCTTCATTTTATACTTACCAACTCTTTGTTTAATTACTAAAAAGGCATTCATCCATTTACATAAAACTTACGCTTTTAAGGATATTGTTGTCATTTCCAATAAAACATTTGTTTCTTTATTTCAAAATATTACAAAGACTTTCTTAAGGAATAATTCAATAAAACATTTTCAAGATTGAACTTCTTGACTTGCTTTTATGATTTCTTTTCTATTTTTTTTTATTTTCAATGCAAGATGCAGTTATTTAGAAGATTATTTTAAAAAAAAAATATACTTGATAGATTGTAAATCTTGTATATTAAATCTCATATTTTTTAAAGAGATCACAAATTAGTAATGTAGAAAATCCCTAATTCAAGACATGTTGACTTTAAAGAATAAAAATAAGAATTGATTACCATATAGAAATAATGATCTTGATGCGAGGAATAGTTATCCAAGCTTGAAACAAAAAGAAAACAAGAACAAAACAAGAAATTAAAGATAACGAACTTGGTTTTAGAGCATAGCTCTGATACCAACTAATGCAAATTTAAAGGGGAAGAACCTTAGAACTTATAATCAAGATTGAACATAATATATGAAAGCTAAAATTAAGTTAAAAAGATATTAACACAATGATTGCTTGAACAAAAAACCCTAGTTATTAGATGAAAATCCTAACATGTGATTATAATGAACAAAGAATAAAAGGAATAAGGATGAATGTTACAAAGAGAAATCTTGATAACTTTTGAAAGTTCTATAAAGAGCTAAAAGTAAGAACAATCTCTCTCTCACAAGTTTATTTCTAAATAATCATTGGGTTATGATAACTTATAAACTAAAAAATATATTTATAGTTTAACAAAATAAACTTTAGTGGAAAACTAAGTTGAAACTATAACCCAAATCTAAACTAACTCAAGAGCACTTTAAAGTATATAAACAAAGTTTAATTTGCAAAGTAACTTTTAAATCTTATCAGAATACTTTTTTTTTTAATTGTCATAAAATTTTAACTTTATAAAAAATAAGGTTTTTAAAATATTATGGAAAAATTTTACTTTTATTCAAATTTTTAGTTAGATTGAAAATTATAACTTTTAATGTGTAGTTGTGCATTCAAGCTCCGGTATATGTTAAACATCTATATTTCTTGCTTCAATTATATTGATCAAGACTTGATTTTTCTTTGAATTTAATTTTATGCTTATATCATCTTAAAAGAAATTCTCAAAGCTTGCTCGACCACTATATTTAGAATTAGCCAATTAAATATTTCTTTAATTCTTTTGATTTTTGTTTTTATAATTAATCTAATTAATATATGTAATGGATCATATGATATTATTTGTGTTTTATAGTAAGTTAATTTTTATATTATACTACAAATTAACATTTTCAAGAAAATGGCTGGCTTGATAGCTTGTTTTTATTATGAAAATAATTTGTGTTTACCTTCTTCCATCCTTAATGTTTCTTTGTAATGTCAAATTTATTTATTTTGAACGTAAATAATTTGACAAGGGAGGTTATCAATTTTGAATCTTGTGGGCTTAAGATTTCGTTGGTTTTTCTAGCTTGTTGGCTATTGATGTAACATGTATCTATTTTGAAAATAATAACATTTTTGTTTTTTCACGTGATTTTTAAAAATAAAGTGTAGTGCATTTGAATTAGTGTACTTTTTTACAATGTGATGAATATTTTTTTTAAAATAATTTTTTTTTGAAAATATATGAAAATAGTATATGTTTATTTATTTTTTAAAATTTAATTTTGATATTAATATATTAAAACAATTTATAAATATAAAAAAATTAATTTGATAAAATTTAATTTTGATATTAATATATTACAACTATTTATAAATATAAAAAAATTAAATAGAAATTTTTCTTAAAAATATAATCAGACCGGAATCCGAAACACCGCCCGAAACTAAAATATCGTTTTTAAATTCATGAAATGAATGCAGGAAGCAATGACCACCACCTGAAAAAGAGGATAAAAAATCGAAGCCCCACCGTCACTCAAAGGACCCACAATCCTCCACCGTTCGATGAAGATAATCCCCATAATAATAATAATAATAATAATAATAATAATAATAGTAAAACAGAAAAAGAAAAAGAAAAAGAAAAAAATGCACGGCTTCCCTTCCCTCTGGTGGGAAATCACAAGCATCCTTCAACACTTCCAGTCACCTTGACGCATCCATCTTCCTCCTTTCCTTCAACAACAAACAAAAAAAGATTCGAAAGCTCCAGAAACCAGCCCAGCCAAGCAACGGATAATGAGTAGAGTCCGTACACTAAACTAAAAACTCTGCTGCTTATTGGAAATAAATAACCTTGTTAATTTCTTCTGCACAGAATGGCAACGAAACTATCAACTTGTTTTCTGAGCCATCGCCATGCTACTGCTTTAAATTGCAATGCTATTACCACTACCACTAATGATCCCAAGCATACAAATGTTCGATTCTTGTTGCCTTGTCATCGATTACTCTCATCCTCCTCTTTCAGAATACGGAATCGCAACTCGAGGTACGTACCACGCTTCTCAATTAGGTTTTTAATTTTACTGTTAGGTTTTTATTATTAATTTGATTTCAATAATTTGATGCATGGCTGAATGAAAGAAGCTCGCATTATAAGCGTAGACAAATGAAGAAATCTTCTTCTACAGAGGATTCCGAGAGTCATCAACCACAACCACAACCTCAACCCCCTCCTAAGGTGTTTAGTGCTGTACCAAATGATGTTACTGGCGCTAGCGTTCTCGTAGATTCGGAAAGTAGTACTAGTGTAGATGTGGAGCGGATTGAGCAACTCACTGATGCACAGAATCCACAACGTCTTACCGTGTCCCAAGAAGCCAAATCTTTGGTCTTCTTTCTCTACTTATGCAATCGTATTAGCAAATTTGTTTTTGATCGCTGCTTCGGTGTAATATAGTTTATTTATTTATTTATTTTTAATTTGGTTTCTCTCAGGCTATTGATGTTAACATAGAGGAAGATGAGAAGCATTCAAGTGCATCTGATGAAATGAAACAATTGGTATTCCTTTTTACCATGCTCCTTAAGAAAATAAAGTATTTCACAATCTGTTCTTAGGCTATGTAGTTTATATTTTTTAAGTGACTAGGGCTTCCATGCACTTTAGGATATCCATGCTGGAACTTTGATGCTTGAGTTTTGGTCCGTTACTCTGTCTGGATGTTATTCAAGTGTGGAATTCACATTAAGTCTATGATTTCAAATCTGTTCCTCAATTTAGTTTGACTTTTCTTGTTTTTGATTTACTTGAATGAGAGACAATGGCTTGTTTCAAAAAAAATTAAATAATCTATCTTCTACCCCCCAGGCCGTAAACATGGGTGGCGGAGAGCAACTTTCAAGTATTCAACTTGAAGATTTGATAGGCATGATAAGAAATGCTGAGAAAAGTAGGATGACTTTCTCTTCTGTTCTTGATTTATATTCCTCAATGCTTGTAGTTTCAACACTTCCAAGTAAGGAGGGCATGTGTTTATATTCATTGGTAACATGTGTATGTTAGATACTCTTCTTCTGAACAAAGCTCGGGTTTTTGCACTTGATGAACTTGAAAGAATTTTTCATGAGAAGGACAAGTTGCAAGGAGAAATTAATGTTTTGGAGATGAGATTGGCAGAAAATGATGCTAAGATGAAGGTTGCCGCTCAAGAAAAGATACGTGTGGAACTCCTGGAAGCCCAGCTGGAGAAACTAAGGAATGAACTAGCTCAGAGGGGTGCTACTGACAGAAGTGTGTTTGATCTGTATGAGAGCCAAAACAATGTTTTTAATAAGGAAGCCCCTCTACTTCAGAATAACACTCTACTTCAGAATAGCAGTGTTCATTCTCTTAGTGAGGAGCTTAGTTTATTGAGGTCGGAAAATATGTCTTTGAAAAATGATATAGAAGCACTCAGGGAAGAGCTTAGTAATGTCAAGAATACCGATGAACGTGTTGCAATACTGGTGAAGCAACACTCTTTGATGATGTCTTCTCTGCAAGACCTGGAGTCCAAACTAATAGCTTCTAAGGAAGATGTTTCAAAATTATCTAGTCTAAAAGTCGAATGCAAGGACTTATGGGAGAAGGTGGATACTTTGCAAGCACTGCTAGATAAGGCAACCAAGCGAGCAGATCAGGCTATTCTTGTGTTGCAACAAAACCAGGATCTCCGAAAGAAGGTTGATAAATTGGAAGAATCCCTGGAAGAAGCCGTTGTTTATAAGCTATCATCAGAAAAGTTGCAGCAATATAATGAACTAATGCAGCAAAAGATGAAACTATTGGAGGAGCACCTCCAGAGGTCTGATGAAGAGATACATTCTTATGTCCGATTGTATCAAGATTCTGTACAAGAATTTCAAGATACACTCAAGAGTTTGAAAGAGGAAAGCAATAAAAGGGCACTGGATGAACCTATAGATGATATGCCTTGGGAATTTTGGAGTCATTTACTGCTCATAATTGATGGCTGGCTGCTCGAGAAGAAAATATCTACAGATGATGCAAAGCTTTTGAGAGAAATGGTATGGAAGAGAGATGGGCGTATTTGCGAGGCATACATGGAAAGCAGAGAAAAGAATGAACGTGAAGCTGTGTCTAGGTTTCTCAAGCTGACGTCATCACCCAAAAGGTAACAATTTTAAGTAGGAATGTTTTTGGGAATTAGCCGTTACTATCCGATTATCTCTTTACTATCTGATTTTCCCTTTCCTTGATCTTCAGTTCTGGATTATCTATCATTCATATTGCAGCAGAGATGGCACCAGTTGCCAAGGTGAGCTTAACATACATGTTTCACTCAGTCACTTTGTTTTGGGATTGCTAATTTCTTAGCAGCTTGTCAATCTCATGTCATGTATTTCGTGTGTGTGTGTGTGTGTGTAAATGTCTCAGATGAATATGCTATACATTACATGATATGTCTTTCAGGGAAATATAACTTAGATGACCTCTTTCAGTTTATGTTTTTTGTATATTCCCATGTAATATTGGCCATGTTGTGTTGTCCCTTCTAGCTGTAAATTCCAATCAGCTTGTTTGTGATCATTTATTGCAACTGGCCATTCAAAGTAAAAAAAAAAAAAACATGCTTGTTTCTGACAAGCTGGGAAAAATTTCACAATTCTGATTGATAGCATGACCTTCTTCTCACAGTAATTGACTCTAGTTTTCATTTACAGGTCATGTGAGGGTTGGCAAGGTTATCAACCTTTGAAGTATTTATTATCACATGGATAGTTTCATATTTATTGTATGAATCAATAACCATAACATGCTAAATTAAGGTCTTCAGTTTTCATATCATTAGATCACCTGATAAGTTAGATAGTTGGTACTGATTGGTAGAGTTTCCTGGACAAGTTTTTTTGGCTTGAAAAGAAAAGGGGAGAAAATCTTGTGAGTAGGTCCTCTAATTAATTTTCCCTTTTTTCTATTTCACTTTTAACTATCAAATGAATCTTACATACCTGATACCTGCAAGACACTTCATAGACTTCTTCGGTGTCTTGGTATCAATATCTCATCAATACTCCCTCGAAGTCTCAAATAGCTGCGAAATGATTTCTGAGCACTCAATTAAAACGATGTGTTTTTGTGGTGATGATTTTCACCTTTTTGGTACTTTTTTTAGTAGTATGCAGTTTCCTTCAAATGATGCAGTTGTACCATAATGTTATCCTGCACAAAATTGGATATTGGTTCTAGATTATTGAAGGTTATTAGTTTTTCTTGTTGTGGTCGCCTTTGCTTTTCTTCTCTTATGTTGGTATGCTTCTTGTTGTAGGCTTGTTATTACTGTTATTTTCTTGGTTTATTTACATAATTCACTTACTTATGCTTTACAGGTTGGTGGTTTGGGAGACGTTGTGACTGGTCTATGTAAGGCACTACAAAAGAGAGGACACCTTGTGGAGATTGTTCTGCCTAAATATGATTGCATGCAATATGATCGGATTCACAACTTGAGGGTATGTTAAAAATATTTGCTTAAGTAACTGGTATATCTTAATAATGTTTACAATCGTTTTGATAATTGATTGCTGGTGCAGGCCCTAGATGTGGTGGTGGAATCATATTTTGATGGAAAATTATACAAAAATAAAATATGGGTCGGAACAGTTGAAGGTTTGGATTATATTGGTTTGGTTTGTGCTGTGGCATGAACTTTAGTGTTGCATTTCAATATCAGTTTTGATGGTGCAGGTCTCCCAGTTTACTTTATTGAGCCTCAGCACCCTGAAAAGTTCTTTTGGAGAGGACAATTTTATGGAGAGCATGATGATTTCAGACGTTTTTCATTGTTCAGCCGTGCAGCACTTGAGTTACTTCTTCAATCTGGCAAAAAACCAGATATAATTCATTGTCATGACTGGCAGACTGCTTTTGTTGTATGACCAATCCAATTTTTTCATCACAGATTACTGTTCTTTTACAGCACCTGATCAGAATTCACAACAATAATCTCTCTCTTACTGCCATTTCAGGCACCACTCTATTGGGATTTATATGCCCCAAAAGGGTTGAATTCAGCCAGAATATGTTTCACATGCCACAACTTTGAGTACCAAGGGACTGCACCCGCATCAGAATTGGCATCTTGTGGACTTGATGTCCATCAGCTGAATAGACCAGATCGAATGCAAGACAACTCTGCACATGATAGGGTCAATCCTGTCAAGGTATCACAATTCTTTATTCAAGTTTAATTTATTTTACTCTGCACGTTACAGGGTCAATCCTGTTAAGCTATCACCCTTCTATTCTCACATTTTTCTCTTGTTCAGGGTGCAGTGGTATTCTCGAACATTGTGACAACAGTATCACCTACCTATGCACAAGAGGTGCGGACTGCTGAGGTATGGGCATTGTGATCTGTTATATTCTGTTTCATACATTTGATTAGAGTTCTTAAAAGGCACATAAATAAACATTCAAGTGATATTAGACTCTTAAACAAGTACATAAATAATCTTGCAAGTTATTTTGCAGTGTACAATTTAAGTTAAAAATATTTTGGTTATTATGTTTCAGCAAGAAAAGTTCCAAATTCCTATAGGTGTGGCAATATTCACAAGAAATTTTTGAAGGATGTCTATATGTGTTTTTTGGTTTATTTGCAATTGATCCAAGTAGCATGTGGCTGTAAAGCTCAGAAAGAATTATATGATCTGCTAAAAAGTGGATGCATGTTTATCCTACCAGCTTATAGTGAAGTATACAGGCACCACCCCTATTTTTTCAGTTTCGTCCAAACCACCCATATTTTGTCAGTTTCATCCAAACTGAATCAAAATTGGGTTCAATTTGGTCCTTATTTAAGAAGCACTACAATGAACATGAGGAATGAATAATTTGGAATTTCTTAGTGTTGTTTTGATCCGGCATGGCAATTATTTTTCACGTGGATATGAGATTCCTTTAAAGAAAAATAACGGTAGAACATTGTTTTGCTTTGTGTATTTTCTCCTCCATCTACACAACCATCACAATCCTTTTGTCACCCACAACCTCAACAAGTTCTCTAGGGTTTACCATTACTATTGAAAAATCAATTGCATGTTCTTTTCATTTATGCCATTGTCAATGGCATGTGCTTTATTTCATAGAACTGAACAGCCTGTTTTTTTATTATTATGTTTATTATAGTGGTGTCCCAAATCTTATGGCGCTGAATCTTCATAATGCTGCGTGCAATGTGAAATGATTTGTCACGCTATTTTAGTAGAACTATTTTTTTTTGGCACGTGCTTCACACGTATTATTCAACTATTTTATAGCAAAGTTTTTATAGTCTCTAATAGAGTATTTTGAATTTTTATAACTACATAAGTTTGAATAGTTATTATATATCTTTGATTTTCACATCAAGTTTGATAAGGTATAATTGAATTAGTTTGTTGGATTCTTAAACACAAAATTGAATTACTTTTAATCCTTTATGGTTAGAATAACAACTCTTAGAAATAATAATCGTTAAAAAAATTGCACTAATTTATTGTTAGTATAATTAGAAATTGAAATGACATTTTTTATATCTTATGAAAAAGTTTCATGTTTTTTTAAAAATAAAAAAGAAATCAATTTCAGTTTCATTTTAAACAGTCCTTTTCTTAATTAGAGTGGGATTGGATTTACATATTTTTACTGTAGTATGTTACAATATTAGTATTATATTATGGTATCTTCAAGCACAAGTTAGTATAGCCTTTTTGCTTTTATATATAATTATGGATTCTTACTTTTTCTCCAAACTTTCTTAGTTCATGTATATTTGGGATAGTCTGTTTCCCATAGTCCATGTCCTGATTTTCTGTTGGAAGGAAAACTTTCTAATAACTAACTTTATAAAAATAAGATTACACATTTTGCCATGTTCACTTGATGGAGCTTTTCTAACTATATTGAAACTTTCTTTCATTTCTTTTCTTTTCTTTCAAAAAGATCTTTTTCAGTAGATTTGCATTTGTGCTGGATGGCCTGATAAGATTGGGCAAGACATCTTGAAAAGCAGGTGCTTACGATCTTCTTGATTCAAATTAAACGCTTACTTGAAGATAGATTGCCTCCTAAGTTCACTTTACCTATTTGGGCACTAAGTACAAAAATAAATAATAAACAACATTTACAAGTCCTTTTCCGACTGCCCATATACCAACGACTTGACTTTTAATTAAAAGAGGCGAGAGAGGATTGTTTTCTCAGATTCTTTTTTCCTTTCAAAAGGAACCAAAAATACTCATGGAAAGAATCTGATTTATATCCTTACCCTTCATAAAACACATGCAATTTCTGAATCTATCATTATGCATAGAAGGCCACTTCTCCATAAAAAAACTTCCATAGAGCTTTAAGCCCATTCACAATGTGAACCAAATGGTTTCATAGGTTCAGTGACAACTTGACACTGAAGTACCTATTGATCATGACCTCTCATCTCTATTGTAAATTATCATCAATTAGAATCCTCTGCCAAGCTATCTCCCATTGGAGAAAATAAGACAAGATAGAGCTTTAAACTTCTCACTTCAGACTTGGGAGCAGGTGGAAGGGAAAGGAGGGAGTATTTAGGAGAGGAGCAAGGTGTGGAAGGGAGAGAGGGGAAGGGAGTCTTTATACACCTAGTCAAAGCTTTCCCTATAAAATCACAACACAAGTTATGTTACATATCCTAAGCTTTTTAAGCAGAATAATGGGTGCAAGGTAATGTGGTAGGGCTTTCTGGAACCAGCCAAGACCGTGCTTTTTATGACAATCATAGAATCTTTGTGCTTCAATAGCCATATTGTTCTTTCATAGCTCAGAAACTGGAAATTCTTCTAATTCTGGACACTAAAAGATAAAAAAGAGAAGTATTGTTTTTGGTCTTAATTTTTGCTGATAAGAATTTACTTATTTTACACATGTATCCATGCATGTATGAAAGGAATTTGTAAACTGATAGGGTACAAGGCTGGAAATGAAAATCCTCATGAGTTACCGTCTTTCAGATGAAAAATATCCATATTGTTATGAAATACAATATCCCAGTTTCTAGCATCTTCCCAATTTATTTTCAGGTCTGCCTAAGCTAAGCTGTGTGAAGACATAAATTAATGAGTTTGTTTTTCTCACCATGGTTTCTATTTTGGAATAAAGCCTAATGAGTGTGTGAAGACATAAATTAATGAGCTTGTTTCTCACCATGGTTTCTATTTTGGAATAAAGCCTAATGATATGGGGTATAATATGGTTTGCCAGTCTGTTTGAAGCAAATGTTTCTTTTCTTTTTCTTGGATAAGCAAAATCAAATGTTTTAATGTTTTATTTTTTTATTATTGAAAATTTCTTATAGTTGTTGTGTTTCGTTGAAGGCTTTACTTACAACTTCAACTTGTCTTGTACAGGGTGGGAAAGGTCTCCATTCAACTCTTAATTTTCACTCCAAGAAGTTTGTTGGAATTCTTAATGGAATTGATACTGATGCATGGAATCCTGCTACTGATACTTTTCTCAAAGTCCAGTACAATGTTAATGATCTTCAAGGGAAAACTGAAAACAAAATAGCTTTAAGAAAATTTCTTGGGCTCTCTAATGCAGATGTCAGGCAACCAATGGTAATCTTACTGTAGAAGCATTGTATCGCCTTTCCTTTTCTTTTGAAAGTATTTGATTTCAATCCACCTATTCCTATCAGATTTCAACACTTTTCCATTGATATTACCTCAATGAATGACAAGGTTATATGGATCGTCTCACTTGTTGGTACTGTTAGTGTACTGTGTATCACCTAGGGTACATGGAACATGGGCTATATGTTTGAGAGTAAATTTTGACAACCACAAAATTCCTCTAAAGATGTTCTATCCTAAGGTTATTTTTTTAGTGGGTTAGCAACTATGAAAAATCAGATTATCTCTGGTGAAAGATGACCAGGATGGCTAATTAAACCCCTTTGGGTTGGAAGATTTCATTATTTTTCCTTTTTGAGAAACATCTTAGTTTCTTTGTTAAATCCTTCACTTAACACCCTGCATGGACCTCCAGTTTTTTTTTCCTCCCATTTATATTGTTTTATTTGGGGTAGTTGATCATACTATGCTGAGCAGTGCCATCTTTAACTATAAACTTCATGATTAGCCTGTAATTTTACCTCCTGTTATTTCAGCTCAATGTATATTGGAAGTAAAATCAAGTTTGATCTTGTATCAAATGGGCTCCACTTCGTTATCTTGTGTGAAGTAGTCTGCATTGGAATATCATGGGCATTCTTTTATCTCCAGAGTACCCGATATCATATGGGAGTAGATTTGGGAGGGATATTCTTAGTCTAGCATATCGAGGGAATGACATAGTTCATAATGCCATCATATTGGACATGGGAACATTCTGAATACTTTTATCATTACTTTATAATGATGCAACTTACCTTGTTAAAATTATTCCATTATTCTTTGAATAGGTAGGCTGCATAACACGATTGGTGCCACAGAAAGGTGTGCATCTTATTAGACATGCAATATACCGGACACTGGAGCTGGGAGGACAATTTGTACTTCTTGGTTCAAGCCCAGTTGCACATATTCAGGTAATGCTTTTTTCCTTTTTGCTATGAATTCACTGGTACCATCCAAAATTTTGCACATTATATTGGACAAATCTGCAATGCATCCTCAAAACATAATGCTATAAAGATAAATGTATTTATCTAGCTGGGCTTTTGAGAATTTTGGGATTACAATGCCCTTCATGGACACTGAAACATTAGTTTTGATCATTCTTTCCATATCCTTTATCTATTCTATGTTCTCATATTCTATTTACTAATTAACATTTTATTTCTCCCTTTTATTTTGTAGAGGGAATTTGAGGGTATTGCTAACCATTTTGTGAATCATCATCACATTCGGCTGATATTGAAGTATGATGAATCTCTCTCCCATTCCATTTTTGCGGCATCTGACATTTTTATCATCCCATCGATTTTTGAGCCTTGTGGCCTCACACAGGTATGATCAACACCTTTTCCCTTAATTTTTTAGGGAAGGCGAAGAGCCAGAGTGCATTTGTTTACACTTTTAATTGAATGATACGTCATGAAAATATCGATATAACCTATAAAAAATGTCTCAAATCTGGCAAACATGAGCTAATTTGTAAATTTTGTGCTTTGGACTGTGGATGACTAATTATTAACTTTACAACAAAATGGCTTCACCTTTTCTTTCATAAATGTATATATGTATGTAAACCAAAATGTTTATGTGTTTTTTTTTTTTGGTTGAGTAGGCTTCAGGCTACATAACAGAGCCCTTTGGTCATATTACCATCATACCTAATTGCTGACACCTGAACTTTTTCCTCATGTACTTTTTTTTAAAACTTCTGCAGATGATAGCAATGAGATATGGTTCCATACCAATTGTAAGAAAAACTGGTGGTCTAAATGACAGGTAGGGTACTCGATTTCTGACATAATTCCAGCGATCTGATGTTATTATGGTTGTTAGAGCATCACTGCATTGACGTTTGGTTTTAATTCTGCAGTGTTTTTGATGTTGATGATGATACCGTGCCGCCTCAATTTCGGAATGGCTTTACATTCTCGACTCCTGATGAACATGTAAATAACTAGAGCTGCAGATTTAGTTGTATATCATCCCTGCTTTCCATGTGGCATCTGCGTGAGGCTTTGAGCTATCAATTCAATGCTCTCACCAGCTACTACATTGCTTCACTGGCCTCTATGAAACTAGAATTCATTATGAGCCTTTTTATTTTTCATACCCGCTCTGAATTTTATCCAACTCTTGGTAAAAGCTTTCATTTAGGTTGTTTCTTATTATAATGCTTCCTAATGCATTTCATAATTTCTCAGGGAGTAAACAGTGCTTTAGATCGTGCATTTAACTACTATAGAAACAATACCGAGGTCTGGCAGCAGCTTGTTCAGAAGGACATGAGCATGGATTTCAGTTGGGAATTGTCAACATCGCAATATGAAGAACTTTACTTGAAGTCAGTGGCCAGAGCAAGGGTGGCAGCAAATCGAGCTCAAATATTGTAAGAACAGGCAGTCCTAATTTACGAGTTCTGTGGAGATGCAATTCAGTCAAGTTTGATTCAGGGGTGTGGATTTATAGAGTTACAATTGAGGCAGCCCAGCTAACAAGCACATACATCTTGAGAGTTTCCGATGCTAACACAAGGTTTTTTTTTTTTTTTTTTTAAATATAGATTAGAACATTCACATGGTCTTAAAATAATCCTCTATTATAGTTAATACAAGTTTGTATCAAATTGGCTTTCTAATATGCCCTCATTGTACTTTATACTTAAATGCCATAGGAGATATGACACTACACATCAGAAAATTCACTGTTGCTCTGGTTTTATCTTTAAGAAAATTTGTAAATGTTGCTCTGGTTGTCTTTGGTTGTTCATTTTGCATAATTATCTCGTTAATTCCTGTGCCTTGCTCCTGCTTGATCCTAAAATGTACGAGTTTCATAGTAGTAAAGGTGGTAGCCAAAACAACGAAGCAGAAAATTAGGAGGAAAACGACTTCCTTTTTTGAAAGACCATACAGATTATTATGCACTCTTGGCATGCAAGATTCAAATCATGGTCTCTTTACATTACAAGCCGACAATCCAAACACAATAACTCTCTTTGTTAGCTCGTTTTCCGGGCCGAAGTTGTTGACGGGATCAGCAAGGTGGTAGGCCAAGTTCTTCAACGGTCCCTTTCCGGTAACCATGGCCATACGGGAAAGGATTGGATGACACATTGCTGCCTGCAATGCTGATGTGGTCGCCAGCGTTGCTGCACTTTCGGCTAAAAAGTGGGAAAAATGGTTTTTGGGTGTCCGGCTTACAAGACAACGAACACCAATGAATCCAAACAGAAAATGAATGGCTGAACCCAAATCTGATCCAACAGGGTATGTATTTTTAATACTCGAATCTGTCCTGATTGGTTTTACATTTTCATAACCTGTTTTGCATATGCATAACCTAATTCCATGTATTTTTAATGCTCGAACCTGTCCTGATTAGGTTTTGCATATTCACCTAATTCCAACTCAACTCGAATCTAAAACCGAACCTAAACTAGAATAATATAATTTTATTCCTTACATTAATCTTTCATTTCAAAGTTATTATTGCTGTACCATTAGTGGATCCTCTAACTGATTAGCACATAATCAAGCAAATTATTGCTGATGAAATTTATTTAACAGCTAAGTTGGATTTTTATAATAATCTACAATGAACAGATAAAATGTTATAAAAAAACATTTAACAATAAAATGAAAAACTAATGATTTCTCAATTTCACATTAAATTCTTCCAACAAAATATGCCAACAGAATATCTGTACAATTCTGCCCATAGACTTTTATTAATAGCATTTTTCCGGTTTTCTTGAAATCAACAACGATCCACGAGAACAAAGAAAGTGTAAGTGGAATCAGAGAACATCACGTTAATACAGTGAATAATAATCACTAATTATTTTATAATAAAAAAGCATAATTGCTCAAAACTAATTGAATTACTTATGTGATGTGATTTCACGGTTATATAAATTAATTACTCTAATTTAAATAAATAAAAAAATAAAAAGTAAATAAAAGATTAATCCCACAAGTAAGGTTTAGTTTATATTTTATGCTATATGCAAATGAAAAGGGGAGGGATTGAGGTTATCTAGGTTATAATAAAATTAAACAATCAAGCTAAATTAAATAAATCAGAAAACTATTAATAGAACAAACATTGGTTTCAAGCAGATATTCACTTATAGAAATTAGAATTTAATTTATATTCTAAACATTTATATTTTCTTAATATTGGTTAGTTAGCAGACCTATCATATAACTAACCCTAACCATATAACAATCACAATGTTCGCATTAGTAATTTAATTCAATGGTAACCTTATGAACTAGAAAAGTTGATTAATCTAGACAACATAATTGTACGCAGTTCATGTTAGATTTAACTGAATATTTTTTTCTAAAATTAATAATCTGGATCCACCACAACTATTAATCTCAGTTGCTTCACAAGTTTATATACTATAACTTCAATTCTGATAGCAAACTTAGCAATAAATTGTTTACAATAACAACTGAGAGTCCACTCTAGTAATTAAAATAAACAATCATAGGAAATAAGCATAGGAAAACAAGCTGTTCATCATATAAACTGAAAAGAAAAGGTAAAATAAATCTTACAGTTCTTGAAATCCAAATGTTTGAAGGATGGAAAATGTATTTGTTGCTTGCTATCAAGTTGATGAAGAGAGAATTCATACTAAAGAAGCCATGATGATTCTCTAAACTTTCATCATATTGTATACATAATAAAGATATCCTTTAATGATGAAGACCTTTTACTCAGATCAAAACTCTATAATTGCCCCCTTTTTATAATAAAAGGTTACTTTATAAGATGGTGAATTGTATTTTGGTGGATAATCTTAAAACCATGAAAGAGTTTGGGATTCCTATGAAGAAACTCTTTCTAAGTCATTTTATAATTCAAGGCTTTAATCAAGGAGAACAAAACACCATGAGAAAGATAAGACTTAAGATACAAATGAAAGATACAAAGTCCAATTCTTTTTCATGTCATAAATGCCAAAACTATTTACAACACGCTACTCGAATGATTATCGATACATAAAAATGGTATCATCTTCTTCACGCTCCACTAATGTTTTAAGTATTGTCAAAATAGATAAGTGAGAAAGATAGTGGTGAATACTAAACTATTTACCATAGCTTAAACCTATCAATGCAAAATTCTATTTTAGGTTAGTTATGATGGAAGAACTATAATCCCTACCTAATCACCAAGAAGAGGGGAGAGTTTACTCTAAGAGCTTAAAGGAGCATAAGTCATTTGCAAATAAAAGAATGACTCATCCAGTGAAGAATAAAAGAAAAAAAAAGGTAGTATAAAACTTTATCGATAATAAAGTATCATGTAAAGCTATGATACTCTGATATATCCTAGTGTTAACAAGAAATGAAGGTCAATCTTCTATTACTAAGGATAGAGAGAAGATCACAAAGGGGCTAAAATACTTGACAATGTCAACTACTAATCTTACATTGACCAAGGTTTCAAAACCTTTATTGAAAGGGTTCATCAAATTGAGTCGGTGGTTGTGAATTTCGAAGGATGCTCCAATAAATGAGTGAATAACTTTGATTCCAATACTTATAAACTTTTAATCAGGGCTGGTTAGGGTCATAAAGATATTAATAAATTAGCAAAGAATGATGATATGACTCGAGTTGAAGGTAAACAAGTTCTAACAAAGACTAAAAAGGTTTAAAAAGAGAAAAAACTTCTAGAAAAAATTCAAGGGTTGGTATTGGATGCAAATCTTTTACGCCACTTTATTATAAGATTAAAAAAAAGGCTTCATGACATATAAGTATGGAAAAAGTGAATGACAAATAGCAAAGTTAGCTTACACCTCTTAGAGCTTCAATTTGGGATTATCTTGGTATGACTATGACTTGTGCTTTAGTCTTGAAAGGATTGGGACCCAAAAGAGTGGAAGTACTCTAAAACAAACATCAATATTCACAAGACTTAGATCATCCAAGTTAAAAGATGATAAACACATACTCGATTATTAACCAACTTTGTTTAAGGGTTAAAAGGATCTTTATAGAAAAGTATCTTCACGTGTGAAGAGACAATGTGAATAAGTGGTAAGTACTGAGATGACACTAAAAGGCAAAAAATACATGGTAGTAATCATAAAACCCTTTAATGAAAAGAAAAAAGAGAAAATGATGCATCTCACTTCAAATCACATCACTATTAAAAAGGATGATAATGATGAGTTTTAATTGAAGAAGATGTTGAAAAGGCTTTGCCTATCTTCGAATCAAAAAATAAGTTTATAGTGAATGAACTTAAAGAGGTTAACTTAGGCACCGTTGAAAACCCATGTATGACCTTCATCAATGCAAACTTATCACCTAAAAAAAATGGATTACATTGAACTTTTTATGGAGTGTCGAGATATCTTAACTTGGTCCTATAATGAAATGCCAAGTTTAGACTTAAGGGTTACAATCTATCATTTAGTAGTAAGAAATAGGACAAGTAATATTATTGGATTTAATAGACTAACCATTCTGATTCATAGAGAAAAACACCTTATAACTTAGGTTATCTCAGAACTAGAAATCTATCAAATCTTGAATAGTCATCATGTAATTAACATTAATAGTCTCACATTCCTTACAAAAGTTAATAAATAAATATTTATAGTTTTTGGGAAGAAAATAACCTCTTTTCTTACTAGCTTCATTAAGTTCATCAATAAAAGGGATGAATTCATGATGAAAAGTGCTAAAAATAAAAATACCATTAGATTATTTTAATCACTGAAGTGACACAGACTCCTCTCCACTTGAGGTAGATATTGTATTAGCAGAAGGATTCCAAAGGTTATAGAAATGATAGATAACGTTCATTTTCCATTCATACGTAAAAAAAAAGATGCAAAAATAGTGTCTCAAATATGTGCCCTCTCGAGGATCGACTCATAGCGTGTCAAAACATGTTATTGAGAAGAAATCCTTAAAAGTAGCGTCACTAGCATCTTTTTGGTGGTCAAGTTGTAATAAATTAACTAGAAAGGATGTTGAAGGATTGAAGTTATAAAACTTCCTGATATGAACCCCCATGACCATAAAAAGCTTACAAGAAGTCCCAAATGAAAAAAAAAAAAACTTAAATGCTTAATGCTTTCAAAAGACCATTTCTTAGTGAATAGAACATCGGCTGGTTCGTGTACACAGAAACTTGTTTAATGATATGTGTCTAATGATGTTTACATATCTTTTTTTTTTTTTCTAGAACATACATTTATCAAGAGCCAAAGAAAAGTGGTGCTCTAGCGTATGAAAAGAGAGATTATGAACCATCCAAATTTGATGGTTCATTTTTAAGTACTAATCATTAATCAGCACAATCATTGATTGACAAACCTTTAAGTATCAAAAGTAGTAGCCGATGATTGTTAATCAACACAATCATTGATTGACAAACCTTTAAATAACTATTAAGAAACGGTTCTTCAAGTTCCATAACCATTGATAAATGACTTTTTTAACTTCTTAATTGTTGAGAAATGGCAACTCAAGCTCCACAGTTATTGATTAATAGTTCACCAAAGACCATAACCTTTGAGAAATGGTTCACACACCAAATCCCACGAGAAAACAACAGTTGTTGAGAAACGGTTATCATCGAACATAATAAAAAATCCTAATCACCTAAACAACTTATGTGGAACCTCAAATAAAAAAGAAAAGAGGTGAGGTACATAATATCCAAAACTAGTTTGATGGGTTATTGAATTTTCTTTTACAAGGATTTTCCTATTTCTACATGTTAAGGAAGGAATTATAATTTACTAGCACCAAATCTCTCCTTCTCCTCTTTCTCTTGGCAATTCTTTCAGGAAAGAATGAAATTAACAAAGGATGGGGGAACACAAACCAAAACAAGAAAAAAAAATTAATATATTTTAGTCAGAATCATAAATGAATTGAGTTGATATTCAGTATGATGAGACCTGCAGAACAAGATATCATGTAACCACTTCAGTGAAATAAAAATCAATCAAAATTGATATTTAAATTTTTAATTTTAAAAATTATATTTTATTTTCATAATAAAATATATCTATATAAATTTACTGTGAAAATTTAATATAATCAAATCACATTTTAATCATAAAATATACTCCAACTACAAAATTAATATATTCACTTATTATTAAGTGTAAGTGAATTTGTCTAGATGAGACATTTGTAGAAACAAAAATTTTCTACAATTAAATTAAGTTGTGATATTTTTACTAAAAAGATGAAATAAAATTAAAATAAATAATGTGAACAATTTTTATATATTTTGAGATAATAAAAGGTTGACATGTGAAATAAGATATTTAAGATATATTGTTATAAATACAAAACCCAACAAATAAAGATAAACCACTAAAATAATATCATATGACATTGGAAAAGAACCTAAGGCTCTGTTTGTTTCATGAAAAGTGATTTTCTGAAAATGACGTTTCAAACTTTTTTGTGTTTATTTGCTATTAGAAAAGTTAGTCAGTGAAAAATACTTTTTAGTCAAAAAACATTTGACTTGGTTTCTAGCAAAGTGTTTTCCTTTTATTTTGGGTGGAAAACACTTTCTAAAAGTTTTGAAAAATTTAGAAATGTTATGTTATTTACTGATTATATCAAATTTGATTTTCAAACTTTTGATTGCTATCTATTTTGTTTTGAATATATTTTTTTCAATTTTATCCTTTAGCATTTGATTTTTATATCAACTTTAGTTCTCATTCTTATGATTATTATTTGCTTTTGTTTTATTATTTTTAATTAAAAAAATTTATCTATCAGATTTGATCCTCATTATTTTAATTGTTATTTATTTTATTTGAAATAATTTATAAAATTATAATTTTTTTAATTTCATCATCTTTTAACTTTTTTATCTATTAGATTTAATCTCTATTATTTTTATTGTTATTTATTTTATCTGAGATAATTTATGAAATTATTTTTTTTAATTTTATTCTCATTCAACTTTTTAATTTGTAAGATTTGTTTCTCATTATTTTAATAAACTTCAAAAAAAATATTAGCAATTTAGTTTCTAGCTCATTTTCTATGACATAGCAAAATATTGAAAAGTATTTTTCAACTTATTTTTATAATACTACTAAACATTAGAAAAAAATTCACTTTTCAAGAATTTATTTTTCAAGAAAACCATTTTCTAAAAAGTAACGACTTTCTAACAAACAAACAAAGCCTAAGAGTCTCAATAAATTTCTATTGAGGGCCTAATAATTAGTATTTAAAAGTATATTTTTATTAAGGTTTTATATCATCATTTTTGCACTTGAAATATCAATAACTCTTTAACTAAAACATATTTTATAATAACATATCTAATAATATAAGATACTTTTAATTTGTACTAAATATTCATCTTAAATGCAACCATATCACATAAATAAAAGGAATGATTGATGAGCTTAAGTACTGAAATTGAAAGGACAAAGAGATGGCCAAACTTAGAAAAAAAGATGTTAATGGAGTCCAAACTGAAATATTGTTCGGTAATTAGGTCATATCTGGAGTTGTATATCTCGAATTGAGGTCTACTTTATATGGATGGAAAGGTTAGACATAGGCCTACAACTTTCATAGAAGTTCAAGATTTAAAAAAGCTGTTTTAAAGTTCAAATTGTAGCAACAACGAAGAAGTCTGAATCTATCCTATAGCTCAAACATTGTTTAGTATTCAATCCATATCTTGAGTTCTAAAAGTCTAAATGACCTCAATTTTTTTCTCTGGAAAGTTGAGATAATTTTCTAGAACTTTAATATGGAAGTCTAGTTAAATTCTAATGTTATCAATAATATTCTATTCAGACAAGAAGATAAGGATTGTCACCAAGTCAAGATATGGTCATCCACTAGTCAATTAGTCATCAAATCAATAGTTTTTAATTTTGGCCTATAAATGAAGGAATTTGTCATGCATTTAGTTATTTTGATTTCCAGATCAAGATCATACTCTTGCTTTCTTTCTTTGTATTTTTGTAATGCTTAATTTTTGCTTTCATTAATATCTTGTTTATACCTTTCATTTTCTTTCTTTTACTTAGTTAACTTTTATCTTATTTATTTATATTTTTCTTTTTTATTACATTTAGCTAAGTTTATTATGTTAAGGTGAAAAGATTACACTAATGGTGTAAGAATAAGTATAGTGTAAACTTAACATAACCCTTAATGTTTGATACTAACATGTTTTGTATTTGTTATCTTATTCACTCTTAATACTTTGCTTGTTAAATGGTTAATCTAGATTTATATTGTATAACATATGGTACAACAAATACTTAGCACTTTCATAGTCTAACCGTATTTTATAACCGACACTTGTACGTTATTTATTACTTCGACAGTCTTGCACCTAGAAGAAGATATCAATTTTTTGGTTGTGACAATCTTGCACCTAGAAGAAGATATCAATCTTTTGGTTATCCTGCACTTAGAAGAAGATATCAATCTTTTGGTTGTGTCACCTCATCCTAGACAAAAAAGAAAGGAAGAATTCTTGAAGTTATAAAAAAAATTTCAAGACAAACTCTTCAAGAAAGAAAGCTATCTTAAAAGCTCTTATGTCTCCTTCATTTATGCTTGAAATCTATAAGAAATGAAGCCATGTTAGATCAAGTCTAAATTCCTCATAAGAGTAGTTTAGCAACACCTTAAAGACAAATTAAAGATACTATTTAAAACATAAAATCATCAAATCTTGCTCTCTAATACACCCCTAAATTCATGTTTTTACAAAACATAAATCTTAGGTTGATTTCACAAGTAAATCAAGTTACCACATATCAAATCCAAAAGAAGAATAAGAGGATTATTTATTCATTTTGTAAGAATATTTTAAATAGAGATTGTACCCAATTCCATATTTTAATAAAATAAAATGTTTGTACATATGTGTTTGTTTAATTTTAAGTGCTTAAAATTGTGTTTACAATGGGTTGACTTTTATTTTTTTGGGTCTTTTTTTAAATTAATTTATTTGAATTTTATCTTTTAATATTTAATTTATTTAAAATTTATCTTTCTACCTTTTTTCTTATTTCTTTTCTATTGGTTTATCTTGATTCTGTGCCCATGGTCACAAAATTTGTGAGTTAACCCAGATTAACTCTTTTTTTTTTCATTTTGATTCTTTAACATTAAGTTGTTCGAGCTCTAAACCTCATAATTTTATTCAATTTTCTTTCAAACATGATCATTCTAATATCATGATTAATATCATGACTGGATCAGAGATTTTTTCAAATACACATAAGAAGCCTTGGGTGATGAATTCTCTCTTTATTACTCAAATACCTTCATATAGTTTATACTATACTCAATATTTATCTGTTTGCTACCCTTGATTAGAATAACGTGTGGTAGGATCAAAAAATAATATTTCTTATATAAGATAACACAATGATTTTAAAGTCTAAAAATCACTTATATCATGTGAATTTTTCCACAAGTAAATGATTTTTATTATCATTGTTATCACCTTAGTTTTCTTTTAATTTGCATGCATAAAGTATTTTTGGCATTTAGAAAGATTATTTGCTTTAACGATGATTGCATTGGTGAAAGTGTACTGCTAATTAAACATGGAAATCAGCAAAATTCTGAACAGCAGAAGGCCCATGAAGACGCAAAGAGGTTGGTTTCTGAAATTCTACTTTTGCATTATTACTCGATACTTTCCAAGGGCCTGTTTTGGTTTCTGGAAACTTGCTTTCAAAATGAAAGCATAAACTATAAGCACGAGATTATATTTTTTTTTTGAGATGGTGTTTTCTAGTTTCTGAGTAAAGGAATCGCAAAAGCTTTTCAGATGTTTGAAAGCAGGGTTGTTGTTTTTACAACAATTAATAGAAAGCCAGAAATTAAGGTTCATTCCAAACAGATTCATGGGATTTTTGTGTGATGACTTGCGAATATTATTTTAATACAGTATTCTGAAGCTGGATTAGTTGACTAATAATGCGTTTGATGCAGAGATGACGAGGAGCGAAGGCAGATGCTTAGTCAGATTTTGTCTTCTGAAGCACGAGAAAGAATTAAGTTCACATCTGAGATCATCTATAGAAGTTCTTTAATAAGATCATTATTTATCTTTCAATTGTGCATCCATTCTCTTGAAAATCTTGTTACATAGTTGCCTTCTCAGAAAGCATCGAATTACCACACTGCTTATGTTTCATTATTGAATTGGTAATTAATTTTATTTTTGATTTGGAACTCTGTTTATGATGCAAAAATGTTTGAAAGAAAATTGAATAAAATTATGTTAATCCTGAGACTAAAGAAGCCTATGCCAAATACCTTCAAAATTCTTCTTCTTCTTATTATTATTATTATAGATAAAGCTGAAGTTCATGGAAAGTGTAGCAAGGAGACTCCTCCAGCTTATCATACAACCATGCTCATAAATTCTTCAGAACCTTGTGCACCAACTAAGCATATTGGCAGGTCCCATAACCTGACAAATACCAACAACACATGATTACACCAAGTGGGAATATAAAATTCCTAGTACAATCTATCATCTTAGAAAACACAATATATCTTTACATTAATAATCAAACGTATAGGAATTCTTCATACAAATCAAATTGGATCAGTTTTAGTAATGAGACCAGACTTATGGTAGTCACAATTCCAAAGGTTTCGGCCATGGAAACCGTAGTAAAGATTCATAGCAACTGATGCATGATTTATGAAGGTATTGGGGTTGAAGCAGGGTCCATTTGGTTGTATGGTCGTGCAATCAACATGACCACAAGCAAATTCAAGATTTGCAGACAGTTCAGCATCAGTTGATGATGGCTTTGCAACACACCAGGTTTTATCCTGCATCAACGCAAGAAATTAATTTTTGACTATTTAAGGTCCAGTCTAGACTTCTGGATGAAAGGTTATAGAGATTTCAGTTTTCATTATACCTGTGCGTTAGCCGTTTTGATCATCCCTCCTGCACACATTTAAACAAGAAAATCATAAACTAACATTCTGATTGCAGAAGCATTTAAAAAATGGAAGAAAAATTATTGGGATTCTATATTTGCAGTCCAAGAAGTGATATTTCGAACATATGGTAGTGGTGATACTGAATCAGAAGATACAAGGCAGATATAAATGCAAGAAATTTACAGGTGTGAAGCTTGAAAATAAAATGGGATTATAAGAGACAAGACACATATACCAGCATTGCATAGCAAAAGCATCAGCAGGAAGGGGAGAATGGGAAGAGAGAATGTTGTTCCAGCCATTGCTTTGTTTACGCAGGAAAATTGAAGAAAACAGAAGACAGTGAAAATTGTTTCCAGTCTTTATGTGAATAAAGAAATGGGAGAGTTCGAATATAAAGGACATCGACGGGTATTGCCAGAACGAAAAAAATTACTTCCTGGACAGAATAGACAACGCCATATAGCCAGAGGGTTGTTGGGTTTCTAAATAGGATACACGTAATTGAAATAATAAAACAAAATCATTGGAGAGTTTATAAAATCCTTCTGATAAATCATGAGTTATTTAAGGATTGATAAGTTATTTAAGGATTTATTATTTAAATATTTGATTTTTTTTATTTTGAATAATTTTTTAAAAGTTGAGTTATTACAAATCATAAGTTATTCAGTTGTTCAGTTTCTAACAATAATCCACATAAACCGTTAATGAAAAATCTCTTAAAATCCTTATTTAAGAGAAAGAAATTGTTATGTCTAGAGTGTTAACTCTTTATTTTGTGACTTGTATAATTTTTCTGCCATCGGAGACAACTTCCAAAAATAAAAATCATAACTTATTATTTATAAGAAAATTTAAAAAACCCTATAAATTTATAAAATATAAATTTACCCCTTTAAAATATATATATATTATTAATTTAGGATAATTTTATAAATTAATTCAATCAAGTTCTTACTTGTTATTTCTAGATCTAGAAATATAATCTTTCTATTAATTATATTTTAGTCTTTAATTTCTAAAATATATTTTAATCAAGTCATACTTAATTAAGTCATCATAATTTAATTCTAACTAATGATTCTTCATGTGTGTGATTCATGAGGTTTCTAAGATGTTGGCTCAAATATAAATTATAATTATAATTAAATAGAATCAAATAAATTAAATAATTTAATTTATTATCAATTTAATAATTGATTAATTTATATTCATTAGGTATATTGTCTAGTAATATATCATGATCCACCAAATATTAGAAAAATAATGGTTTGACTTAACCTTTTAGTGGTCGGTTTCTTAGCGTAATTTATATCATTTTATCAATAATGTTTTTATTTGATATTAAAGCATGGAATATATCTTCTATGTTAAATCATATTTGTTCTCTGTATAATAATAATTGATTGTTTGAATAAGATTTGAAATTCTTTTCAAATCTTATTCTATATTGGCCAAAGATTTCTCAGTTAATAATATTTGAGAACATATGAAACATTTTTCATAATTTACCTAGGGTGATAAATCATTTCTTAATTACTTAAGTACCTTTATATAGTTAATAATAGACCTAATGTCTGCCCTTTCAGTATATCGATTAAGATAACATATAATAAGATCAAAGTATAACATTCTCTATATAAGATCACTTAGTAATTTCAAGTGTAAAGATACTAATACAACTATTACGTGAGCCTTTTCATAAACATAAATGATCTCTTGATATAAAATTTTCATATGGATCAGTTCAGTGTATATATCTTATAACAAGTATCTACATATTAGTTATATGTATCTATTTTACTCTAGCATATGCAAATAACTATTTCCTTTTATAAATGAAAGAACATAATATGAATTAATTTTTATGACTTTAATAAATGTCTAATATTTAATAAAACATTGAGTATAAATATTTAGGAACAATGCTTTGATGTAATAAAAATACTATAATTATTACAACTTTATGATTTTCTTTGCAAAATATTTTTATCAAATGGACTTTATTTTTACTCTAGATTTATAAATTAAATATTAAATTTATTAATCTAATATTATATAAATATTAAAATTAAATTAAATCTTTATTAATCATAAATATATATTTAAATGAATACAATAATGCTACATGTGTTCAATAAACTGATTGATTATATGACATATTAAACTAAGAAGGATAACATTACCTCTAACAATGGACAAGAAAAAAACAGAAATTGTTGAATTTGTTTATCTACAAGAAAAAAAGAAAAAAATATATATATATATATACCTTGGGAAATTTGATGTGAAATTATTGATTGCAGCACTTTTGCTGGCTGTAAAAGCCTTGGGAGGTTGTGAATTAACTTGGCTTTTCTTGAGGTGTTTTGTACTAAACATGGCATCAAGTCTCCCATTACAAAAAAGAAACCTTTCCATAATTATAAGGACTCTTGTTTGCTTTAACAATTATGAGAGTGCCAGTATTGAAGTTCCACAGTAGATTTTTGCACATTGGGCATCTCTTCGAACATTTAGGAAAGATGGGTTTTGTTCATATAAAGAAAAAGGAATTCATTAAATGGTATTTTGCCTGATTGAGTGAAAAGACTATTAATCTCACCTTTAATACACTGATTTCACACACTAACATTTCATGGCCAAAAGTTAATTACGTGTTGCTCATAGGCAGTGGTGCCAATGGAAGAGTAAATTGGACATTGAATGGATTCTGATATTGGATTATTTTCTGTTTTAGTGAATGATATACAGTACTACATTTGAGAATTGCCAAGGAAAGGAGTTATTGTCGAGTTTCTTTTTTACTCTCCGGTGAGGGGCTCGGTGGACTTTCGGCTAGACAGGTGAGATACTACATTACAAACTCTAAATTTCCAGATTACCGCTCCCAATTTTACAGTCTGAACCTTACACCTCTTACTGGAAATTTCGTGTCCTAAGCAAGCTAGTCCCCTCCAGTGAAAGAAAGTGTTTTAACACAATTGAGAATACATTAATGTTAACACTGAACTTTCCTGGTTGAAATATGAAAGATAATAGCATGAGAGTTGTTGGCTTGTAAATTTCCCTTTTGGGGATCCAGCATCATTTGATCTGCTGGCTCCTGCGTGCACCTAAGGCCGAACAACCACTCAGTTTTTTAGGTCATTATCACTAGCTGTATCCGTTCAAAATTAGGTTAGTGTTCATACAAGTTTAGCTTATAAGCTGCAATCAAAACTAAATATCATATAAAAGTTTCAAGTTGGATCATGAATTATTTTGGGTTTTAGGATGAGTTTTTTTTTGTCAGTCAAGCACTTAAGTGTTTCATTAATATTTGATTAATATTTAAAAATGTATTTTTATCAAGGTTTTATATTATTATTTTGCACTTGAAGTATCAATAACTCCTTAACTAAAACATGTTTTATAATAACAAGTCTGATATCATAAAATTCCTTTGATTTATGATAAATATTCATCTTAAATGCAGGCCTATCACATAAATAAAAAGATTGATTGATGAGTTTAAGTATTAAAATTGAAAGGACAAAAAGAGAGTCAAACTTAGAAAAGAGATGCTAGTTCAGTCCAAACTAGAATACTATTTGGTAATTGGATCATAAATGGAGTTATAGAACTTGAATTTAGATTTGCTTTATATAAATAAAAATCTAAGACATAGATCTAAAAATTTCATAGAAGGCAAAACTCAATTCTTTTGTTTTTCAAATCTTAGCAATAATGGATTAGTCCGAATTTATCCTATAACCTAGACATTGTTCAATATTTAGCTTATATCTCGAATTTTAGAAGTCTAAATGACTTCAATTTATTTTTTTTAAGCTAAGACAATTTCCTAAAACTTTCATGATTTAAGTTTGTTTGAATTCTGATGTTAGCAATGACGTTTTTAGCAGAAAAAAAAACATAAGAATTGTCATCAAGTCAAGAGTTAGTCACTTACTCAACTCAACTATTAATTATCAAATCAATAATTCTCAATTTTGGCCTATAAAAGGAGGCATTTGACATGCAT